GGGTTCAATCAAATCCTTATCTACATTTTGTTTGTTTGCCTAAATCTTGCGGCCTTGTCAAAAAGGGGCGTCTTTGGGCTTTGATATTCACTCACGTCATGAAATGACGTACTAAGCTCTGTCAAAGAAGGATAACTATAGACACGCTATTTTTTATTAGCCTTGAGACTTGGGCACACACTTTTAAGTTCCCGATGCTGAAAGCGATAGGTCCTAATCTTTGCAAGGTCCATAGCAAAAGCTCTAAGGATCGAGCTTTAAACCCTCCAAATGACCTGTTGTGGACAAAATGTTTTTAGATCAAAATGGAAACCTCTTTCAAAATGAGTTTTAGTGGTGCAACTCGAAACATTACCGTAATGTTCTGACGCTCATATTTTTAAAGTCAAAGCGTTGTATTCTTTCAAACAAATAGAGCGAAGAATATAGTGAATGGGAAGGATGAAATCCTCATAAATGTTTATTTCTCCCTTCAATTCAAGCTAACCTACTCTTGTTGATTTAACGATGTTCCCATTGGCTAGCCGGACACCAAATGATGGCCTACCACAAAAGCGCTCAGTCGATCACTAGGAAGCTCGACCGACTGAATGTTCCAGGTACAGAGCATTTTTTAGAATTTCATCTTTTTTTGCTAACCTTCCACAAATATCTCAGATATTTATGATATGGGTTCTATATATAGGGCTTGCCAGCTCTTTTCAAAGGGTTAAAAAAAAAGCTTGCCTAAGGATAGAAAAGCGTAAGAGCTCTCTTCTTCTTTCTCATCTCCCACCTACCACCATCAACCTTAACACCCATTTCTTCATTAAAGCTTGATCCTAAGCTCTGGACAAAGGATTTTAGACATTAAAGAACACCCCCAAAAGCTCTTAAGGGACCTTAAAGGGAGTTTGTGAACAAGAAAGGCTCATCCTCTTTAAGAGGCGAATCCTTAGTCCCTTTGATCATCTTCTCCCTACTTTTTCTTTAATTCTATCTTTGTTTTCAATTATGTAATTGTTGTAAGTCCTCATGGATGTGGAGGAAGTAGCCTTAGCCACCTATCCATTAAGTTGATAGTCTTTTTAATTTCAACTATCTCATTCTTGTGGATTTTGGACCCTTGTGGATGTTCTTGGGAGTAGTTTTAGCCATCTATTCACAAGCTCAATAAGTAGAATAACTCTTCCCCCTATTACACCACTTATCTTGACCTATCCCCCTCTCTCAAGTGTGCTAATCTATATGTTTCAACTTTTTACTCAATAACAATGAGTGTTAGGGGTTGTTTCATGAAGTTGCTTGGGTGATCTGTGGGATTTGGTGTTGACAAGTGTTGTCTCTTTTTTCATTGAGTAATTTGGAAGTAAAACAAGAGATTTTGGGTCAAAGGAAGTTCAAACCTCCCTTCTCAATCATTTGTGAACATAGAAAGGGGTGTTATCATCCTTGTTCTATGACTAGATAAGGAGTTTTCAATGAGTTTGATGAATCCCTTGTTTTAGTAAGCAAAGCTTCCGCCAAGAAATGATTTGCGTTAATCTACGCTCTCCACTTAATACCATGGTTTTGGGTATTAACTTGCCCTTATTCGCAAAGAGAAGATATGGTTCCTATCTAATTCTCGGGCTTGAATTTGTTTTGATTTTGATCCATTTAATTTGTTTCTTTAAGTAAAATATACGTTGTATATATATGTTTGTGTTATGGTTGAGGGTTATGGCCCATTCACGCCTCTCCAAGTGATCCTTGTTAACAGAGGAGGTGGAAGGTATGAGAACTCCCTAGAAAGCCTCCATTTGGCCTCTATCCTGAGATTCTACACTAACCTAATTCCAATTGGAAGTGGAATTTGGCCAGCCACTTTCTACTTCAGCCGACTCACCTGGTGTTTGGTCAATCATTTCCCCAAGAATAGAATAGATAATTTCTGAGGAATGCTTCTGTAAGCAGTTCTCGACCCCCGGATTGCTTCTTTTCTTTATTTAGTATGATTTGTTAGATTCAACAATAGCTAGGATGAATCGATTCATTATTGTAATAATCTCTCTCTCCTTATTTCTTATTCAAATTGTTGTAATAATCTTCCAACCCCACGTCTTTCTAACCTTTTTATTGATCTTCTTTCGGTATTGCATCATGTTTTCTTTATCATGCCTATATATTGTATCCATTTTTTCATGCATTTGGATCCAGATCATCCGCATTAATATGATTTACTATGTTCAAAGATGAATACATGCAGAAATCCATGAATTGTGCCATGCTCATGCTACATCTTAGCAATCCGGACTCCTAGATACATGTTCTGTGTGTGTTGCATTAGAAACTTGCATATAGGATCAAGTATATTTGTACACATCTGTATATGTTGTGACTCACCTTAGAATACTAGGTGAGCATTTTGAATTTTAGCATATTGCATGTGTGTGTTCCTTACTATATTTGTTGCTACAACATGAGGCTAAGTGCATAAGTGAGATATTTGTTTGAATACCAGTAGATGAAGGTTGTGCCAATGGATGGAGGTTGTGTTATTTATTTTGGAGTATAGATGATTCTTATGCTGCAGATTTTATCCAAGAAAACCCCTTTTCAAAAATGCATGAAGTCCGAGTATAACCAAAATTTACAACACGATCTATATTTAAATGCCTCAAATAGTAATGGTAGCATTATTAATAATCAAAATTTGGATTTACATTGGTTATAAAAATCATATTATGACTTAGTAGAGGCTGATCTTTGATGGGGTGAGTGGGGGTGCTCAATTAATGACCTTCCCCTCTCATACATATGTTCTCGAGCCGAGACACTTTGGTTATGACGGATGGTGGCCTTCGGCACGAGTCATTGGTTTCTTAATTTTCTCAAAAGTTTAGGTGGCAATTTTGAAATCTGGTGATGTAGTCCATTTCTGACAATATTTTGTAATAAAATGGATTTTCTATAAAAGTTGTCAGATTTGGACTCTCATTTTCTGTTTCACATTGTACTAGTGAGACTAGATTAGGAGATTGGGAGTCCAAACTGTTGGGCGCGTTTGGTAACCCCAAAAGCATCCCACACCTACTTCAAAACAGAGTCAGCAGAGCCCATTTCCAATTTATTATTGAAAAAAAGGCGTAAGAAACTCTCCAGTTGGAAAGCCAACAACCTCTCCTTGACTAGGAGAGCAACCCTTAAATTGTCACCTCAGCTATGCCTTCTTATGTTATGCAAACTATCGAGCTCCCTAAAAACCTTTGTAATGGCATTGACAAAATGAATGATAACTTTTTTTTGGGCAATTCAGCCTCTAGAAAAAGATTCCACCTCATTAACTGGAACCAAGTTTGCTTGTTATGCATGGTAAACTACTCACAAACCAATTCAAATTTACTAAAGGGCTTGATAACTCTGATCTTTGCCTAGATGTACTACACAAGCAGAAAGCATGAGCTACCTCCTAAAGGACTGCAACTACTCAAGGGAGTTGTATAAAAAAGTGAAAAATCATCACTGGATTAGGGTTGGCATACACAAGCCTTTTGAAGACTAGTAATCTCATAATCTTCGTGACAAATCTAAAAACCTTACAGGTATTAGTTGGAACATTGGGTTCACTGTCACTCTTTGGCAAATTTGGAAGGCTAGAAATAAAACTGCTTTTGAAAATAGTGAAGTTAACATTCATGACAGCCTACGCCAAGTGTTCCAGTACACCTATGAGATCCATGAGGCCTTTTGATGCCCCCCTAAGCACTAATCAACAAAGACCTAAACTAATTACTTGGTTGTCTCTTCCTGCAAGGAAAATCAAACTAAATGCAGATGGATGTGCCCAAGGAGATTGGAGAAAAGTTGGATATGGAGGACTTCAGGGATGATAAAAGCTCTTGGGTGCCAGGCTATTCTGGAAAGCTTGATAATACAACACGCCTAGAAGCAGAGATCTGGGCCATCTATCAACACACAACCATCATTAGTGAATCTGATCAATGAGGGCGCCCACCCAAACTGCCCATACCAAGCTTTGGTAGAAGACACCAAATTCCTTACCCATTGAATTGGTTGCACAATCAAGCACATCTTCCAAGAGGCAATCAAAGCACTGATTGTACACATTGGAACAGACCAGTTAGAGGACGTGAAGATTTATAAGGACCCTCCTGATTCCACAAGGCCCATTTTAGTAGCCAAAATGGTTGTTCTCGTGTATAAGTGGGTTTAACCCTCTCCCCGTCCTTTCTTTGTAACGACTTACCTTGTTACCTGAAAAAAGAAATCAGGCTTTTGATTTTGTAGTTTCTTTATATGATCTAAAACATCTCTAATGTTGTGTATAGATTTGTAAGAAATGCATGAAGGATAAGAAAAAAGACTTCGTGAAAAGAATTTAGATTGATTTTGATTGAATTTTAAAATTATGATTCGAAAATAAATTAAATCTTAAGTTTTAAAATTATAATTTGAATGTGAAAATTTTGTTTGATTATATATTTTGAAATGAGTTTAGAATAATTAATGTGATACGATATTTGATTCAAAAACTTACGAATTATAACAAATACACAATCCAAAATTCTATTCAAAATTCATAAAATATTTTAAAAAATTCAAAAAATATTTTTTATTTAATATATAAAAAATAACAAGTGTCAATTGTCCAATAAATAAATAAAATTTTGCATTATTCCGGTCAACCGGCCAGACAACCAAGTAGGACAAGTTTCAAATACAAATCCCGTCTGAAACGAATTTTCAAAAGTACTGTAAAATTAATTTTTGAAAGTTGTAACTAAACACCATACTCAAATATGAGTGTGGAATCATTATTAGAACTCGACACCAAACACAGCCTTCATCCTTTAAGTTGTGTTTAGATCCTGATTTTGTAGAAATTTGTGGAAGGAAGAAAAAACCCAACACGCACACAAAAAAAGTTAAGAGAGAACTTGCAAATGAAAACAAAGGCAATTTTTTTTCCCCCACAAATCCTTTTCTTGTCTTTCGCTCCACAAATTGAAGATCCAAGATTCCAAACTATGTGTCATCAATTTTTGCACTCAATCAAGAAATTTCCAATTGGAAGGAAGCTACATTGAAGAAAAGAAAAGAAAAGAAAAAGAATAACCTTAATTTTACAAACCACGGTAGCATCTATAATTCAGGGGGAGAAAAAAAGACACCTAGTATAAACACAAGCATTCTTATGACATTGCAATAGACTACAATTCTATCTCGAACAGAACAAAATTAGTGCAACAAGTATATTGCCAGCATTCTTTTCCCCCAAAAAAATTGATCCAATGCAACCGGTTGTTACCATATTCAACTCCAGCCTCAAATTCAGCAGATCAAGCCTTCATAAATATATATACGACACAGTAGGCTTAACTCCACGCGAGCAACAAACTTACCTTCCGGAATATAACTCTGAATTCCTATAAATGCCTCATAGACTAACCGTTAGCTTCAGCTCAACTTGCCAGAGCTAGTGCTTAGATGCAACTGGACCCCGTTTTCTTCACATGAATGTGGCCCTGAATTAAATCCATTTGTCTTGACTGACCCTACAGCGATCTTTGTTGGCTCAGACAATTTCACAGCTGGGGGCTTGTCGCAAGCAACATGATGTGGTTGTTGCAGCATATCCATGTATTTTGAAGATGGTACATCACCTTTACAGTATTTGCTCCACATGTTCCGGTATATTGATTCCAGACCAAGAATGAATTTCGATCCATCACAAAGGGGGGACTTGGACATGAGATCCCGCAGACCCATTCTCAAGTTTGAGAGAGCTGTAACATCTGAAGCCAACTGCAATGCCGATTGGACATATTCATCTTCATTCTTGGCAACCAGATGACCTAACCCTGTATTTCAATATCCAGAAAATCCACATTAGTTACGATTTACTATGTGATTTTACTACATAGATGCTGGAGTGGGAATTGCATCAGCAGAAACAAGCAATTAATAAATGAGCAGCTAATGCTAACATCCATTATTTGGTATTCTGTTATGGGAAAAAGAAAAAAAAAATATATATATATATATATGGATCCACCATTGTACATAAGCAATTTTTGTAATGACAATTAGAAAGTTTTGATCTATATATTTGCACGCTTTGATTTGTTTCATCCAGGCAAGACTCCTAGAAGGCCTTGCAAAGATTATAAGGTTTCTACTCTCTTTCTCGTTCATTTTGTTCTAATTGATTTTAATTCCTAGCATTGTCATGCAAAACTTGCAGCCACAAGCAGCCCTTCTATCACCATGATTAAACCCCTAAACCTTCGATCCTAAAACCAACCCTAATTACCCTAGTCATGTCCTTAAAAACCAGACATTCCCTGCTGTCCAGAAAGTCCATCAAGCTATAACATTTTATTTTTGGATCTCAAAACAGCCTTAAACCAAAGCTAATCTAACTTTAATCCATCCATGAACCCCTAATATTTTCCAGACATAATTACCTACAAGGAAGCCATCATTAGACTCTGCCATACGTCAATTGTAGTTTATCATCTTGTCGTATGCAAGGAAAGGAATGACAAGTTTAGTGTTCTCCTAATATACATTCTTTCAAACTCAATCCCAAATTGACTCAGTAATCAGGTTTGATCCTTAAGTAAGGATATAGCATGGAGCTTTGCTTTACAAGTTTCTAGACAAAATGTCTCATTGAAACAAGGAAGCTTTAACGTTGAAAATAATAATAAACAACCAATACAAAAGATTAAAAAAGTAGCTAATATATTAATGAAGGTATTATAAACAGAAGCTTCCTACCAACTGTCTTGAGAAGACTCACGCCTACATTATGAGCATGTACTGAACCCCCCATGGTGACACATGGAACTCCCATATACAAAGATTCACAAGTAGTAGTCGTTCCCGCATATGGAAAAGTATCCAAGCTACATAGAAACAAGAGCATAAATATTAGACACGACGTTACATGGACTCTTCAAAATAAATCAAATACTCGTGTCAAACACTTGACACTAGACATGAATCCAGACTTGCACCCGTGCTCGAGTACATGTAACATAGACTAGACATGTCATCAAAATATAATACACACCAGAATAAGCCATTCAAAGGGTCATCAGATAAGATCAGTTCTGATTCTTAGTAGAAACACCGACTAATTTCAGAACGGACTAGTGAAGCAAAACCACATGTTGTCCATCCCATAGCAAATAATCTAAAACAGAATTGACCAATAGCAAACAAAACCATGGGCAGTTAAAGTGTGCTAGAAGTAGCACAAGATGGTTCCTGAACCATTTCATGGAAAACAAGAATAGGGAGGAATGAACAATTATCTTACTGATCCAGTAAAAAGAACAAAGTTTTAACTACTGATCCTGTAAAAAGAACAGAGTTTTACCTAATGTCCATAAGAGCATATGCTTGCATATGGTCATGGTTGAGTAGAATTAGAGGCAAGAGATCAACTCGCAGGGATTCCAAACCTAACTGCTCCAGTGTTGAAAGGAATCTCTGCCTTACACTATCACAACAGAAGGGCTTACACTTTACAACAAGTCGAGAGTTTGGAACAGCACATAAAATCCTTGCCCAAACTTGTAGCACTTTAGGTGTTATCTGATAAGAGCAGGGAAAATCACAGTTTATCTGTGAATGTGGAAGTTCCATTATGTTTAAAAGATGCACTGAAAAACATTTCTTTTAGATCTAATCAAAATACCTTTGCTAGATTGTTAAAGCTACCAAAAGTAATGAAGCCATTGGAAAGAGCAGGAGTTGGACATATAGGCCCGGCTTCAGGGGATGGTGTATAACAAAGGAAACATTCTGGTAACCGAATTAACTCCTCAACATGCCTGTCATTTAATGATTTTATCAAAATAAATAATAATAATAAAAAAATTTGACTGCAAATTAATGAAACAATTACATGAGAGATTTCAAATTGCAAATCCATGCTTTTATCTTTCACAGGAACTAATACTTGAAAATGATTAAAAAATGGAAATGTCACCTACTTCTGTCTTGCATCGGGAGGGTCAGCCAATGCATCAGTTATTCTATAATCAATAGCAGGCAAACCAGTTGTATTTGGGTAGCCAATCCAAGTCACCTAACAAAGAGGCAAGCCAACAAGAATATTATAAGCCAAGCAAGTATGGGAGTACAAAATCAACAACAGATCCACCACATCAAATAACTCCTGGGAGCCCAGCAATGATTTTCAACATACAAAGCAAGCTCAAACATCCTTAGTAAGTCCTCAGGATAGCTGTTTTAAGGCCAAAGGCCACATTTCATGGACTCGAGTATATTTACAAGGTGAGGATATTTGCTATGCATCAAATTGGTCTAAACCAAAACAAAGGCATGACCAAAAATAAGTGATTATGAAACACAACACATTCATAAAGTACAGTAATGCATTTCTGGCAGGCAGGCATAATGGAACATGCGTACTGTACAAGTGTTCTAGAGACTACCCACAAAGTCCATTGCCATCTTGTTAAGAAATAGGGTTTTTTTTTGGGGGGGGGCGCTACACTATGACTCAACTTCGCCAACGGGAGCTCTATTATTAAAATCCTCCTCTCCCTACATACACTTGTAAACATCCCTAATGTGTGTATTGTTACTATTGATTCACCAAGTTGAAATTTAATGACAAGTTGAATGAGGGAATACCAAACAAACCCCACAACTTCTACACCCTTTTACATCAATGCATGAAGTGGTGACTATCTTGACCACCTCTTTATATATCATCTAGCTACAAATCAAAAGGCCCACAATGATGCATAGCGAAAACTTAATGAAGATACTCTATGAAGCATGGGTAAGCATGGGTACTTCAGCAAACATGTTGTACCCGCACCGGGCATTGTTGCTTTGCATGGTACTTCTGCATACATACTAGATACACGAAACAAGTACACAAAATTTTCTTCTTAATTTTTGCCGTACCCTAGACGTACCTACCATATACCCATGTCGTACCTAAGCTAGAATAGTATTTTCTTCTATGCAGAGGCGAAGTTAGTTTCATTAGACATGTTTTTTATCTAGGAAGCACCATACGGATACGGGAAACAACAATACGGATACGGCGATATATCAAAATCTAAAAAAGTAAGATATGGATAAGACAGGGATGCGCACGTAAAAAAAAAAAAATTTTAAATTTTAATAATGTAATATGCATGAAAATAAAACTTAAAACAAATAAATAAATAGAAGAATTCCACACCGATAGATATATTATAAATACTGATACAGAACTACGCAGAAACTATTATAATAATAATAAAGAAGAAGAAGAAAATAAGTTAATAACAATAATAAAAGATAAGAACATATATATATAGATACATACACAGTCAGTATGATATACATAAAAATAGAACGAGAGAGAGAGAGAGAGAGACGACTCTGATCTGAAGACAATCGATCAACGTGATCAATGTGCGCTGTAGTCGGGTGGTGATGGAAGATAACAAGAGCTGAGGTAGTCGGGAGTGGAGTCATCTCCACCGAACTCTCGACAGCAGTCGGCTGGAGAACCTGGTTTTGATGATGAATTTTGAGCTCATTTCAACTGCCTACCCACTTTGTACCTTTACCTTTACCTTTACCTTTCTAACTTCTTTTGTTCGATTTCTCACTTCGATTTGTTTGATTTGAGCTTTAGGGTTTCTTATCCTCTTCGAGTTTGGTTTTCTTCTTCATGGTTCTAAGGATCAAGCTTAGGATTTTCTTTTATTTACGGTTTGACCCCAAAAAAGTTTTCAAAAATTACGTTTTCTACCCTGTCGTATCCCCAAAGTATACGAAACATATCGCTCACATATCCATGCGTATCTGAGCCGTATCCGAAATTCAAAAAAATAAAAAACTGGATACTTGCTAGCCGTATCCGATATGTATCCAGACATATCGGACAGGAATCCGTATCCGATACATATCCAATACTCGTACGCGGCCTATTTTGGAGTATCCATGCTTCATAGTTTTTTATGCTTAGTATAATTTTAAAATTACACTCTTATTTGTAAATTTTTTAATATAATGGCATTTAATTTTGATTTATACTTTACTTTTGGAATTAAATGCAAATTGCAAGTTAAATCTTAATAAAATAAATCATGTAACAATTTTTTGCATCACTTCAAATTAAAAATAAATATAGTTTTATGATTGTACCCAGCCATACCTGTACCATACTTTTTTAGGTTTTACCATATCGTTGTACCTGTATCGTACCAATATTAATACACATACCCGTACATGCAATAAGAGAAGAAGTCCTATAAAGATCACTCTTTATGGCTCACACTCACATCATGTCTCTTACATGTGCAATATTCCATGAACTAAAAACACAGTTAAAGAGCCATCATTTTCTCTTACAATCAGATGAGTGTTTGCAAAGAAGCATGGACATTTCTATCGAGGAGTGTCAAACGCTACACTCTGTGGACACTCATAAAAATATGTCTTGACACTTCTTCAACGTTTCTTAATCAAAATTCTAAATTCATATTGAGCGCTTTATACACACTTCTCGGACACCTTGATTACATTTCTTGAATCCTTCTAACATGATCTATGTGCCGAATCTCTTGAAGTAACCATGTTGTGCATTCTTCAAAATGCAATTTGTGCACACTAAACATGTTTCTAAACATTTATAAGATGATCATGTGTATTTCAATGTTCTACAATTGTTTTTGCATGCTTTAGAATGCAATTGTTACATGAATGCTACCTTGATGTTTAACTTATGAATATATGACTTTGTAATTTTAATAGGTGTTATATTGCCTTTTACTTATTTATTTATTTATTTATTATTATTATTATTATTACCAATGAATAAACTATTCATATATTTGATATATAATAAATTTATAGAAGTATAATTATTTAATGTGTCCCAAGCGCATTGTATCCTGCATTTTTTTTTAAATTGCATGCTGAATGTTGTGTCTCGTGTCTCTGGCTTTTGTTGTGCTTGGTCCGACACAAGTACCATACAGTTTAAAAAACCCCTACTTCAAATGTACTTTGTTCATGACTTTTAGTAGATGTACACTACAGCAATTCAAATGTAGGAGGTAACAGAGTTGGCCATAATTCCACCAAGAGGACAGCAATGTAATAAGTCAAGACCACTGAGGAGCAATGATTAAGTAAAGCTAATCCCAGTTCTACTTTAAAATAACTAAATCCACTTCTGTAAATTGATCCATAGATGAATAACAAAAAAAGTCAAACATAAAACAATATGAGGCAATCTTGTTTGACTCTAATCACTCCCCCCTCTCTTTGCTCCAGGTTACTGGTCAAAGGACCAGTTGAAATGCTTAAACCTACAAAAGCTTTGCAAGCCACCAATTAAAAAACTTGAAATGACAACAGATTTACTTGCAGAGAGTTTGGGAGTAGAGAAAAAAGTGAAATCAAATTGATAGAACTGCACTGCCTGTGACATCAAATTGGACAGGAAGCCACGAACAGTTGAATCCATATCATTGCATAGCAAAAGCTGCATCTGGATCTAATCTATCTACTTGGCAATCCATCTGAAGTGACTAGAACTAAAAAGAAAAATACATCCAGGGAAGAAAATGAAAAAATTATTGCCTTAAGGATACCTGAACAGGTGCAGGTCGGCATGCCATCATTCCCAACTTATTATTAGCAGTATGACCTGTAAGTTCAACCAAGATATCAACTTTATCCTCTCTAACCATGGTTGCAACTTTCTTCTCATCAATCCCGTAGATATCTCTCCATATTCCACCCTTTTTTAAAACCTTGTCTCTAAATCTATTAGTTTTTGCATCTGCCTGTGACATCAAAAGAAAAGGATATGTTTATCAACCTTTTTATCCATCCAGGCCAGTAGAGTACTCATTCTGTGTAGGTGACTATAAGGTAATAGAAAACTATATGATAATAACAGTTTAAAGTAAACAAAACATTCCAACTAGTTGCAAATATTTCAAAGCAGCATGATATGATGCGTACTCGCAAAAGGGGGAGACACACACACACACACACAAAAAAAAAAAAAAAGGGAAGAAGAAGAGGGTAAGTAATGTAAACAATTCTTTTCAAAAGAAAAGGAAAATAAAGAAATAAAGAAAGGGAATACCTTCACAACTGCCGAATAAACAACCACCTTGTAATTTGCATAATCATGATAGACAAGGGGTGCTTCAATGAAATACGATACAGAATGAGTAAAATAATCAGGTGATACATATCCAATAACAAGTGGTCGTTTTGGATCTTTTGGATTGTTCCATGAAGAGCACTGTGGATATAACCGCATAAACCGCTTACCCCAATCTCTGCAAGTATACATTTCATCTTAGTTAAGCCCAATTGCAGATAAAGCTTTATGTATGTTTAGTAATAGTAACAATAGCAACACTTGACAAAAATCTAAGCTTTGAAATATATAACAAAAAATGTTACAATAAACCACTTAATAATAACACCCAAAGGAAAAAATATAAACATTTCCTGGAGTAATTCATTATTGGTTAAAAGGGGTGCAAAGATTTGTTGTTACATGAAGTTCAGGAAAATAACCTTCAAAGTAGATTTTAAACAATATTCAAAGAAACATAAAAACACACCCTCATGGTAGGGGGGAATAAGCCATCTTCTATAATGTGAACTCCCGAGAAGCATTTGCTACTTAAACCTCATAGAAAAATTTATCAGGAGCAAGCAAAAGACAACCCAAAGAAGGATCTGATATCATAATTCAGTCCAAAATATTTTAATGTGTTACATACACTCCTCTATTTCTCCCATAAGGTTTGAGGGTATGTGTCCAACACCAATACCCGAGGAAACACAGATATAGAAACATACATGGGACATGAAACATGGTGATTTCAAAAAAATTAGGACACAGGCACAACAGAGATATAATTTTTATTTATTTATTTATATATATACATAAAATTTTATTTTCTTTGCATATAAATATTACATCCATGAATAATCAAACAAGTCTTAAGTCCCATCAAATGGAGTCAGCTACATAAATCCTCCTCCTCCATTCGGCTCTATCAAGGGTTATTTCGTTAATCAAATGAAGGAGGTTCATATCTCTATTTACAACACTATCCCACATCAATCTAGATCTACCCTTCCCCTACCACATCAATGGGTTGGTCTCCGTTGTACATGACCAAACCATTTCAATCTACTCGCTCTCAACTTATCTTCTATCGGTACTACTCCAACCCATTCACGAATATATTCATTCCTAACTCTTTTTTTTCTAGTCTTACCACACATCTACCTTAGCATCCTCATCTCAACAACACTTATTTTATTTACATATTGTTTCTTAGTTGCCCAACATTCCATCCCATACATCATCGTTGGTCTGATAGTTGTTCTAGAACTTTCCTTTTAGTCTAGTGGGTATTCGTTTATCATACAGTACCCCATACGCACTCATCCACTTTAGCCAACCCGTCTTAATGAAAACACTAATTTAACATTAAAAAACAAACTAAATTTAAATTAGCCAGATACTATATCATTGTTGCGTTAGGCTCCGAGATCGTTGGAATGCAGTTTCTCACATCACAACTATGGTTAGATCCGTATTATGTTATTGTTGGTTTGACATGAGTTTTACAATTTTTAAAATTTCAACCCTTACTTTTTTAAAAATATTATAATATTACCCTAAAACTAGCTTTAAAAAATTAAAATAAGATCCTGCTGTCCCTGGGGAAAAAAAAAATTATAAGAATAGACATGCTACATGATGTGTCCCATACACGTTCCCACCGTTTCCGTGTCCCATACATGTCCGACAGGGCTATGGCACCTATTTTGAAGTCTGATGCTTCATAGCTTGTACCAAATTTAGACACTTGGATCCTCTAATTTTTTACAATATTTGAAAAAGAAGAAACTCAATCTGCTAGTAAGAAACATTTGTAACCTCTCATATGGATGAGAAAGAGAAATTTAATATTTTTTTTTCAAATTCTATTTAATTTCAAGTAGAGAATTACATAATTTAGAACATTTGAACATTATACTAAATGTAATATATATGTGCGTGTGTGTGTGTGTCCTTGACTCATCCTTGTACCCATATTCGACTTTTGGATACATAACCTAAGATTTAGGTTTATAAAGGTCTAACGCTTGTACCCATAATCGACTTTTGGATACATAACCTAAGATTTAGGTTTATGAAGGTCTAACACTTAGACATGTATCTGATAATCATTTTGTAGTCCATGTTACCATGTAACATAGACGATCAAATATCAAGGTTTTGTTGGAGGGACATGATAGACGGAGCCAAATAAAAGATAGAAAACTTTCATGTCATTTTACAACCCAATACATTGCTCTACGAAGGAAGGGGTTGGGTTAGGAGCATTTTCAATATGATTCTTTTACTGTATTTGTTCGATGAGAAATGCGAGACAAAAAAGGAACCCATCTTTTCAACTGGGAAATGCGAGCCTGTTTTGTCAACTTTCTCCATCCCCCTCTATCAAAATGATCAATAAGGAAGGCGAGCTTGCTTCTTATTACCGTGTTTGATCTCTGCGATCTCTGCCTCGCTCGTTGTCACCTATGTTGAAGAAAGTTTTGGGACCCCGTAAAGAATAAAGAGGGGCGAAGGATTTTCCTCTCAACAGTGTTTCTCGAGGCTCCACTCTCCCCCTGAATAAGGCCCCATTAGCCTGGGCAAAGATGGGTATAGGAGTACGGATTGAAGCCCCCTTAGCTCTGCCAGGTACTAGACAGGGGTTAACTCTTTGGTTTGGTGTCCAATTCTCCTTCAATACTGAACGAACAGAATAGGACCAGACCCAACCCAACACCCACACAAAGAAAAAGAAGTGCAGTGGCCACCAAGGGGGACTAGACTAATGGGTCCGTGCATAGCCATCACTTGATCGGAAACTATTTTTGGATGATTTTGATTGAACCTAAAAGAATGCAGATGCTTTGTAGTTAGTCGAGGAAAAAAAAAATTACATAATTACAGGCATTTTGGTAATTTCCCCAAATAGGGGTAAAATGACTTAGCTTATACTCGTTTGGAGTTGAAATTAATTATGTATTTGGCTATGAATTTTTTAGATCCTACACTTAGTTGATTTATTATTTATTAGTTTAGGAAACCTTTGTTTAATAGGTTTTAGAAAATCCTTTTCCTGATAGGAAAGCAACTATGCTTCTACATAAGCAACTCTTTGTCAACACAAATGGACAAGTAGATTAATAATAGTTCTCAGCAAATTTGTGCTATTTCAACAGTGAGACTCCATAGATTTCTCTTAAGAGAAACTCCATAGATTCTAAAGTGTTTATCCTTCTTTATTTCAATTTCAGCATTGTTGTGCTCTTCTAACAGCCACAACTAGCCCCTTCTAAAACCCTAACTTCATCCCAAATCCCTAGCCCTTTGATCCCTAACCCTAATCCCTAATTATTGTATCATCCTAGCCATAAAAACACAATCCCCAGCAGTCCAGAAAATCCAGCAAGCGTTTTTCTTTAATATCAAAATGTGAAACAGCCTCAAATCTCACCATTCCAACGTTTATTTTATTCCATCCTTCAACCCTAATTTTAGCTTGTCGACCATAAACCCTATAATTGAAGCCCTAGCCCACCATATGTGATTGTTGAGAAACTTTTTTCACTATGTCCTAAATTGGAAGGCAATCATCTTGAAATAATTTATCCACTCTTTAGTACATGTAAAACAATTAAATCTACTAATTAATACATAACCATTTTTTACCCTCACAACCATCTACCCTTTAATAAACAGAAAATACACTCCCACTCAAGTATGAAGCTTAGCACGTACATTGTTTTGGTGAGAATCATTATCCTCATCAGTAAAGACTTCCATCCACACATTTCTATTCAATACTCGATAGTGAGACTCAATAATCTCTCTTCAAATAACTACAAAAACAATGAGAAAGCCTCAATGACACGAACATTGAATTTTGATTCCTGCTCTTTCTACTATCTATCCTCGTATTTTATTTGATTCAGCACTTCATTGTTCATCTCCTTCATTGTAAAACTGTGTAACATTCGCCACCCCAAAACCACAAAAAAAAAGTGTTCTGCATATGTGTGTGTTCACATAGGTAGTCATACGTGTTGGATAGTTTGATATACATTGTTGGACTCAATTTCTAACAACTTAAAATTTTGAGACGAGTGGTGATCCAACATGGTATCAAAACTCGAGTTGAGAGAGATCTTAGGTTCAAATCTTTCTATTTGCATTTGTTCCCCATTTGCATTCTGCTTATATGTATAGATGTTTGCATTACTACGTACAAGACGGCGTTGAATGTGAGTGTGTTAAAAAGTTTTATATACATTGTTTGACTGATTTCCTAATAACTTAAGCTTTTAGGACTGGTGATGATCTAACAATACAGACATATTTGTTCTTGATTAAACTTTTGTATCCCATGACAGAGGAGGGAAGAGAGAAAGAGAAAAGAATTGTGAAAAGATAACAAAGTCTAGCAAAAGAGAGAAAATCCAAATAAGTTCAATAAGCACACCCCTATTCAATTTCAAATGCCTTTCTTGGGTGTGATCCATCTTTGAAACAATTTGGACATAGTATCCAAATGAGCATTACCTAATAAAATTCACAACTGTAGTCACCACAGGCACGTAAGGCCTTGTTATTAATGATTAGATTCAATATCTGAGTTATCCACTTTTCTTCAGATTCAACATCTAAAAGGAATATATGAGAGGAAACAATTGAGGATTCCAACAGGTATTTTACTGAAAAAATGAAAGAGAGAATAGAAGGATGGGAGTTTCCCTTCTATTCGATGCATGGTTATACAAGTATCTTTTCAAAAGGTCACCAGAATTTTAAATTAGGAACTTAATGCATGTAATCAAAATTTCTCTGGCCCTTCCGAGCAGTTGTTTCCGTTAAAATCAAAATTTCTAAAGTAGTTCATTTAAACTTCTTTCGCCAACATATTCAAAGAATAAGAATGAACATAGATAATAGTTAATTGAACCTGTGAGCCTCAAATAATTTATCATCAGTTCCCTCATCTATGTAGTTCATTGCAAGCAGTCGATTCTGGCAAAAAAATGGTCAATAAAATACGAATAAGAAAGGGGGGGAAAAAATTAAATGGGACCCAACAAACATGAAAACAGAGTTACTAGTTAGCAACTTTCTGAAGATGCACTGAAATGACAGTAACTGAACTTGCATAATGCAAAGCCAGAAATATATAAATCAAAATAAAAGAAAAACACCACCATGAATGGTATGATCAACCAATGAACAGCTGTAGTGAATGCAAAACAAATTAAATCACAGAAGTCAACCTCAAATTTAGTCACTCCATATCTCCCACGTAAGATAATTTACAGCAATCTTATAAAACAATGTTTATCCAACACGTGAAGGCTATATGTTACTTGGAACAAGGAAACATAATACACCACATTCTCCTAAAATTTGGTACAATAAGGGTAGGCCTGTATAGGTTACATTATTGGAGTTCCACTACATCTAGAACAATTTTCTTTTAATAATTAGACATTCAATAAAATATGGTCTATTTAATTCCAAATTGATCATGTAAAAACATATTTTTAAGAGCATTATGGTGCGCTTTAAATTGTAACCCGCCAAAACTCTACTTTCTCTAGAAATTAGTTCATTATATTTGATTATTTTTCCTTTCTAAGGAAACCTTAAAGAAAATAATAAGGAAAAAAATTGGGAATTCCTAAATTCACCACTTTGGAATGAAAGTATACCATGTCTCTGAACGTGCATACCAAAACGTAAATCACTAGGATATTAGTGTTTCAGCGTTACTGTTTATGAAAGTGCATACCAAACCGTAAATCACTAGAATATTAGGATTTCGGTGTTGAAGGATTTATACGTTCTTTATTCCCCCCCCAAGTGGTGGGATAAATAGCATTGAGTGAAGGTAAATATGAACAGAAATATTATGGTAGGGATTAATATTACACAAGATAGACTGCAAAGTTTTTTGAGGACCATTGGGTTGCCTTATTGAATCTTAGCCTTAGCAATATTTTGGGCCTTCTTTAGGGAACACTCTTAGGTCAGAAAATTTCTAGGATCCAGAGATTGAGAAAATTGGTAAGAGGCTGGATGGGTAGAAAAGGGCCTCAATTTCTAAAGGGAGTAGGTTTACATTGGTCCAATCTATTTTGTTAAGAATACCTATTTACTATTTGTCCTTGTTTAGAGTTTTAATGAGTGTGGAAAATAAATGGAGAAAATGATGAGAATTTTTGCGGGAAGGTAGAATTGGGCAGAGAAAAAACCATTTGATTTAATTAGGATGTGGTTTCTCTTCCCAATAATAAGAGGGAAATAGGAAGGGATTTGGTTATGGGGCACATTGCAGAAAAGAATATTGCTTTGTTTGGTAAATGGCTATGAAGCGTGGACATGGATATGGATATGGATATGGATGTGCATATGGACATGGACATAGAACTGACACGGAATATAATGATTTTGAAAAAGTTAGGATATGAACCCATCAAGGATACTATAAAAAAATTAAGGCTCCGTTTGGTTTACTTTTCAAATCACAATTTGACAGCCCAAAACCCAAAAACCTATTTGGTTTTGGGTTTTCAAACGTATATTCAACTCAACCATTTGAAAACTTCTTTCAAAACTCACAACCAAACAAGTTATAAATTTTCAAACTCTTTTCAAAACTCATAACCAAAAAAGTTTTAAATTTAGCCTTGTTTGGTTTGTGTTTTGAGATATTATTTCAAAAATAATTTTCTAGAGAGTCTAAAAAATGTGAAAATTTGATTGATTGTATATTTTAAAAATAGTTTTGGAGTTTGTGATGATATGATATTTTTTTTGTAGTTGGATAGATGGGTGTGAGAGAAAAGTGATTTAGAAAGAGAAAAGAGAGAAAAATAATCGATTGATGTGTAGTAAAAAAAAAAGTGATTTTGGAATTTTTTTCCTAAAACTTTTTCTAAGTATTAGCCAAATAATTTGTTATGTTTTAGATATATATGAAACAGTAAACAACATGTAAAGAAATGAAAAACAAATATAATAAGGAAAAATTAATCTAAGGTCTCTCTCCCATTTTTAGTAATGGAAGAGGTCCACAATATTATTTTATGATGTCTAAGGTCCCTCAATTCTACACTCATATATCACACTCCTCTCACTATTTCGATTTCTATCTCGTCTCTCCTCTCTCCTCTCTCCTCTCTCCTCTCTCACTCTGTACCCTTTGATCGATTCCCAATTCTTTCTTTCAAACCCATTTCACTCTATCCCCCCTACCCTCCTTTTTTTTTTCTTTTGGGTTTCTTCTCTGATTTTTCGTTGTTTTAGGTACTTGTCAATTCACCTAATCTCTCTCTCTCTCTCTCTCTCTCTCTCTCTCTTGGTTATGATTGTTTCTTGTATTCAATTGAATTCGTCTATGGATTGATCATGGGGAGTCTTCTTCGGATTTTGCAAAATTAGGGTTACTATGGCGTAATTTTAGAGTATCTCCTCATATCCTCTTCTTTATTTTTTTCTTTTTTCTTTTAATTTTGTTTTCAAAGTTTCAATTTATTCCTCAGATTGCGTTTTTCTGATTCCAAATTCTCTCTTATTCAGGTTGGAAATTTACAATTTATTTCGCAAATTTTTAGGTTTTAATTTGTGACCCGTCAATCTTATCCTGTTTTTGAGCTTCTTTGATTCCAAAATTTCCATTCCTGAGAGTGCCTTGCCACCATTTGTTATTATCAGCAATGCCTTTTCTCTCTCTAGAATTTGTTTCCTGGTTTTTTGTTCAAGTAATTTCATTTCCTTTTTGGTTGAAAAATGTTTGTACTTTTTGCGATTTGTGTGTGTAATATTCATCATATTTTTGTGATTTGTGAGAAAATCAGAATTTCTTTGAGAAGAGAATTTCTCTGGTGATGGGTCCAAAATTTCTTTGGTGGCTTCTGCGAAAATCAAAATTTCTCTGGGAACAAAATCAAAATTTCTCTGGTGATGGCTTCTGAGAAAATGAACCTTATTTACAAAACCATTTTATACCATTTAGTAAATTAAAAAATGAAAAACCATTCAAATAATACCATTTAGTAAAGCTATTGGGATTCTTAAAAGCATCCAAGTTCCCTCGATGAAGAGAATGAAAGTGTATGTTAACTCGAAAAAGAAAAGTTACTAAGAAGCAATCAATTATGTGGAGAGTATGCAGAAACTACATAAAGAATAAGAGTTTTCAACCAGAAGCAAGTACGTTTGTGTCACAATGAGTGTGAACTTTCCATCGCATGGACACCAAAAATTGTGCAATCATATGTATAAAGATTAAATTTATATATCATGGGAAACACTGGAATATAAGTAAAGCCAAATTTTGGTACTGTTTGCACCCAAATAAAGGCACTACTACTACCTATACTGAAGAGGTAGCATAAGTCAATAAATTTGTCTACGAATTTTGGAGATTGCATTGATAAATAAGTGTAATTTTATGGGTTTTAGGAATTCATCACAATGAAACTATCTAATAGCCAACAGAAGTTGGGCAAATGTTCATTGAAATTTTTTAAAATGTTGTCCTGCATCTCTTTCAACCACCAAAATAGTGGAAATACAAGGTACATACAGAGGAGCAATATTAAACTCCCCCCCTCCCCTACTTCATCACACTGCTAAGAATTGGCTCTCTAACCATTTTATGTTTTTTCAAAACCTTATTTACAAAACTAGGGATTTTTTGCACTTTATTCCCAAACCATTTGCACGAAGCCAGGGAGTGGGGGTGGGAACGGGAGTGGGGAGTGAGGGCCCAATGGAAGAGTTTAATGTTGGGAGCAAGGACCCTATTCGAGTTTCCTGCTATTAAGTCCCAAACTACATGAAAGCACGGTTACTAAATTTCCTCATTTTGAAATAGATTTGGAGAAGAAGTCTGCTAAAAATCGAAGTGCAGAGAATGCGTGGTTGCTGGCCGCACTTTTTTATTAGAAACGTGGTTAGTAATCATGTTTTCACTAGAGTTTGAATATAAATAGGAACCTTAAACACATGGTTACTAAACATACTTTCAAGAAACCATGTGTAGCAACTACATTTTCACATAGGAAGTAAGTTCAATATACCCCTAACTATTGTTCCCAGAGAAATTCTCTGATGGCTTCTGAGAAAATTAGGATTTCTCTAGGAAGAGAATTCATCTGGTGATGGATCCAAAATTTCTCTGGGAACAAAATTTGTGAAAGGTTCAAGGGTCAGAGAAATTTGATGTTAGTCTAGAGAAATTTGTGAAAGGTTCAAAGGTTTTTAATGTTAGTTCAGAGATCCAGATAAATTTAAATTTTCTCTACTTTATAAATGAATCCAAAGAAATTTGAATTCAAATTTGAACTCAGAGAAAATTGGTCAAATAAACCCAGAGAAATTTAAATTTTCTCTGGATTGAACCCAAAGAAATTCTTTGGAAAGTCTAGAATTTCTCTGGAGAGAATTTTTCAGGGAAGAATTTCTTTGGATCAATGTTGAGGGACCTTAGACATTATGAAAATATTTAATGTCCTTTATGTTATAAAATCTTAATATTAGGGACCCTAAAAAAAAACCCCATGTAATAAATATGAAACGTTTTAAATGTATGTAGATTGAGTGGATATAAATCATAAAAGCAGTTTTAAAATTTTGAAAACATTCTTACGAACTAATATATACATATGAAACTCTACCCTATAAATTATATTAGATATATTTACAAAGTACATTTAGATTACGTATGTAAAAGAAGAAAACAAAATAAAATATATAACGATAAAAAATAAAAATAAAAATAAGATTGACTATAATATTGTAAAAAGTTTTGACTACGTACATAAAAGAAGTTAACAAAATTGACTATAATATAGTAAAAAAATTTTGACTACAAGACAAATAAAATACAATCCCCAAAAAAACTCTAATTAAAAACTAATTTCGAAAACTTTAACCAAACAAGTTTTCAATTTGCCAATTTCTAAAAACTACGTTCAAAATATACAATTCAAAAACTAGTTTCAAAACTCTAA